AGAGGTGACCTTGGTTAAAACACATAGTGCCAAGAAGGTGAGCAAATATATTAAGAACAGTATGCCATATATGCCAGGTACCTTGAAACAGCAAGGATGGACCGGTTCCCGGCACCTTCCCACAGCTCCAATATGGCTTCTCTCTGATTTTGGATCCGTGTGAACAGGTGATACACCGGGGAGCCCCAAACAGGAGATCTGTGCCTTCGGGAAGCTAATATTCAGCTTTCTGTATTTTGTTTGTTTGTCTGTTAATCCTCACTGGAGTATATTTTTTTCCATTGATTTTAGAGAGAGTGGAAGGGAGGGGGGTAGAGAGGAAAGAGAGAAACATCGATGTGAGAGAGCCACATGTGCCCCACCAGGGTGGGGAACCTGCAACCCAGGTACAAGTCCTTGTCAAAAATCAACCCTCAAAACCTTGGGTTTGAGGGCCGGTGTTCTAACCACTTAGCACACTGCCAGGGCAGCATTTTGCATTTGATCTGTAGGACTTTGAGGGAACCTGAGGTGTTTTTCAGGAGAAGATACACCAGAGATGAGGACGGTTGCTATGGGGGCTTTGCCAGGGCGTTGGGCCTGACTGGGACAGGGCTTCTTCCTTCACCATCTGTGCAACCTCAGGCAAGTCACTTAATATCCCCCAAGCCTTGTTTTTTCTTCTGGAAAATGGGACTATGCATCCCTAACTTATCTAGTTGTGGGCTGTCCATGCCCAACAATGTCTGCAGCACTGGAACCCGATTCATTGGCAGGACTTACCCTCCTTTACATGGGTATTTTATTTAAGATGCCTCAGTGCCTTGGGAGACAGATCTGAGTTCTGATCCTGGTTTCATCTTTAATCAGCCCTCAGTCAAGTCCTTTTACTAGTACATTTTTGAACCTCATTTCCTCATCTGTCCAAATTGTCCCTATATTATAGGGTAGTTGGGAGGTTTCACCATAATAATGCATGCAAAGTACCTGTCTGAGTGCTTTACACTGAGAAAGTGCTTGGGAAATATTAGCTACTAGAGGCCTGGTGCACGAATTGGTGCACCAGTGGGGTCCTTCGACCTGGCCTGCGGGATCGGGCTGAAACCGGCTCTCTGACATCCCCGAGGGGTCCTGGATTGTGAGAGGGTACAGGCCAGGCCGAGGGTATCCCACCAGTGCACGATCAGGGCCGGGAAGGGACACAGGAGGTTGGCCAGTCGGGGGAGGGACCACGGGAGGGCTCCAGGGTGTGTCGGGCGGCCTTGCTCAGTCCAGATCAGCAGGACTCCAGCAGCAAGCAACCTACCAGTCAGAGCGTCTGCCCCCTGGTGGTCAGTGCACATCATAGCAAGTGGTTGAGCGGCCTTAGCATATCATTAGCATATTACGCTTTGATTGGTTGAATGGATGACCAATGACTGGACACTTAACATATCAGGCTTTTATTATATAGGATTACCACCATCCTCACATTGGTCTGGCAAATAATGCCCCTGCCAAGAGGATGATCATGCTAATTAACTCTACAAAATCATGAAGCCATGTCAGCAAAGCCTGGAAACTAAGAAAGTGTGGAGCATGTCAACATTAAGAAACGTCCAAACCTGTAGAGAATTTTTATGAGTTTATTTGAGCCAAATTCACAGCATCTGCTGGGGAGCCAGATCTCAAATGCTCTGGAGAATAAGAGTTTTGCAGCTTCTTCTGTGCATGTGAACGTCTGTGGAGGTGAGAGAAAGCATCAGGGGGTTTGGACTTAGATTATAGGATGGTTAGCAAGATTCTGGCCATGTCAGCAAAGCCTGGGAACTAAGAAAGTGTGGAGCATGTCAACATGAAGTAACGTCCAAACCTGTAGAGAATTTTTATGAGTTTATTTGAGCCAAATTCACAGCATCTGCTGGGGAGCCAGATCTCAAATGCTCTGGAGAATAAGAGTTTTGCAGCTTCTTCTGTGCATGTGAACGTCTGTGGAGGTGAGAGAAAGCATCAGGGGGTTTGGACTTAGATTATAGGATGGTTAGCAAGATTCTGTGCTCTCTTCAGGGTTAATACCCCCTTCCAGGAGTATTACATCTGGTTGAGATTAAAAGTGTGTTTACCTAGATGCCCAACAACAATGGACAGGACTTGCTTAAAACCTTTCACTAAAGAAGTCACAAGTTTGGGGCATGACTACCCACCATGACCTGCCCAGTTAGAAATTTATGATCAGATCACCCTGTGAGGTTACTCTCCATTGAACCCCCTTTTTTTCATCCACAGGTATGAATGGAAAACTGCAAGTATTTTATTTTTTAAATATTTCTTTTACTTATTTTTTAATATATTTTTATTGATTTCAGAGAGGAAGGGAGAGGGACAGAAACAGAAAGTTCAAAGATGACAGAGAACCACGGATTGGTTGCCTCCTGCATGCCCCCTACTGGGGATCAAGACTGTAACCTGGGCATGTGCCCAGACCAGGAATCGAACTGAGATCTCCTGGTTACTCGGTTTAAGCTAAACAACTGAGCAATGCCAGCCAGGCTCTTTTCTTTCCTTTTCCCAGGCAGTGAAACTCTAAAGCCAGCCCCAGCGGGCCGAAACTCACCCGCAGAGAGCTGGCTCTCTGCCCCCCTGCTGGCTCTCTTCTTTGGTCTCAGCCCCACCCTGCCACCCCCATTTCCTTTCCCCGGCCCTGGGGCTCTGCCTCTTCCCCAAACCTGCTCTGCTACAATTTCTTCCAGGTTCCCACATCTGTAAAATGGGAATAAAAAGAGTGCCTGTCTCAGAGGGGTGTTGTAAGGATCAGGGGAGATGCCCAAGAGCTTGAAGCCTGGCACACAGTAGGTTCTCATAACTATTAACCGCCACCAATTGATATTTTTTCTGTCTTTAAGATTTTACCACCACCATTTACACAGTGTCTCTGAAGTCCTGTGAATTAGGCCGAGAGTGAGAGCCTTATCCACATTTGATGGGTGAGAAGTGAAGAAGCACTTCGTCCAGGGTCACTCAGCCAGAAAGAGTGGGACTTGACTCGGGGCCTCCTGGCCATTCTTTGCTGGGAAGTGAATCATAAAGTCAATATTTATTACTCACCTTCTGCATGCAAAATCAGGCCCTGGATACTAAGGGGCATTCAGGGAGCGTTCCCACCTATCCTTTGAGGTTGCAAGGGCAAGAGACTGGTAAAGGGGAGGCAGTCAAGGAAGGCTTCCTGGAGGAGTTGAGGTGTAAGCTGGGCCTTGAAGGACCAGCAGAATATGTAGACTGGAGTAAAGGGGTCTGTGTACTGGGGGATGGCAGAGATGTAAACACAGCAGCCACTCCTTCGAGGTTCCTTATGAACCAGGCTCTATGCTGAGAGCTTTCCATGCATCGCTTCGTGAAATCTCCCCAGAATCCGACAAAGTGGTTGATACAGGGAATGAGAAAAGCTCCGCTCAGGGAGTTTACAAACTTGTCTAGGGTCACACAGCGAGTAACGCGATAGGGCCTGGGTTGAAACCCAAGGCTGTCCACTGCCAAGTTTGGTCTCTTAATCATCACACATTATTGCCACCTCGGCCTCACTATCTGAGGATGAGGACTAGGTATTCAGCAGGGGACGGACTCTGAAGGCCTGTAACATGCCAGGCTCAGACATGCAAAAGCCACACGGCACCAGGCGGGGTCGGCAGCCCTGGAATTCAGCAGCAGCTTCTAGCAGCACTGCCATTCGACAGCCAAGGTCACTTCTCTGAGCCTCCGCATCTCTCAACTGGAGAGAAGAGGAACATAAATGTATTATCAACGGTGAAGGTTTTGAATGAGGAAGGGAGGCTCTTGTGACAAAAGGTTTGTTTAGGAAGAAACCTGGAGATATTCAAATATTTACTGATTGTTGGGCTCTGGGAAGACAACTGTGAACAAGACAGCTCTGCACGCTGGACCCCCACCCACCCCCACCCATGCCTACAAGGGGCAGGGCACAGCTTGGGAGAGTTGGGGAGGAACCTTTTACTGGAACAAACAAGGGCTCAGGAGCTGGCCTGTCCCGGATTAGACTGCTAGACTCAAATCAGCAAATCTCTCCAAGTTACCCCGCCTCTCAGACTGTGTCTCCATCTTCACCAGGAAGATCCTCATTCCTCTTCCCAGGATTGCTGGGTTAAATAAAATAAAACAATACAGCCCTGGCCGGTGTGTTCAGTGGTTAGAGCACCAGCCTGCACATCAAGGGCCGTGGGTTCGATTCCAGTCAGGGGCACATACCAGGGTTGCAGGGTGCAGGAGGCAACCCCTAGGCAATCAGTCCACGTGTCTCTCTCCCCATCCCTCCCTCGCTCCCTTCCACTCTCCCTGAAAAGCAATGGAAAAAATACCCTTAGGTGAGGATTAACCAAAAAATAAATTAATAACAACAATAATAACAACAACAACAAATACATGCAATTATCTAGCAGGCGCTCAATGGATGTCACTATCCCCCTATTAAGAGGTATAACTGTTAAGCTCCGTCCCTCTCCTGCCAAGAAAGAGAACAGATTCCTGGCTTGCATTTTAGTGCGGAAAAGGATAGGCATGCATCCATGCTAGCTGAGCAGCCATGCCACCTAACAAACAGTCCGCCAGCCTGGGTCCTGTGCTGCCGCCTGGGCTCAGGGCAAGACTGTTCCCGCCCCACCCCCAGGGACCCGGGCGCGCCCCCGAGCGCTCCACACCCGCGGCCGCTCCTTCTTTCCCCCAGGACCGCCCTCCTGGTCTGCGCAGCGGGTGTGGCTGTCCCTTTAAGCAGCAAAACTCCTGCTGCAATCGCCGACCGGGGACCGGTCCTTTCCGGAGGGTGGAGCCTATATTTGTTGCAGCGACCAACGGAAGCGCGGCATTTTCCGCGGGAGATCCGAATTTCGCGGCACGCAGTTTGGCGCTAAAAAAAAAAGAAGAAAAAAAAAGTGGCGGAGAACCCAAAGCCGCAGGGCGATCAGGGGGTTTGGGTGCTGCCCTGTCATGCTGATCCCGGTGCTGGGGCCGGGAGGCCTCTCAGCTCCGCTGATCCCGGTGCTGGGAGGCCTCACGGCTCTGCTGATCCCGGTGCTGGGAGGCATATTACCCTTTTACTATATAGACTGCACTTGTCCAAGTCACCAGTGCCCTCCACATTGCCAAATTCCAAAGTCAATTAATTCTGCCTTGAGCCCCACCGAACTGTGGCCGTCTGGCCTCGGCAGCCCCCAGCTCTGCCCGGTCACCACCACCTACTACACCTCGCTGTACCCGCAGACTGTGGCCCCCGCTACGGTGCCCGGCACCTGCCTGGACGCCACCCCCCACGGACCTGAAGGCCAAGCTGTGCGATGCGTGCCGGCTGGCCGGCTGCCGGTAATTCTGGGGACCCCGTGCACCTCTTTCCGCTGTGCTTTCCGGGTGTGGGAGAGGAGGGAGGGGCGCCGGGGACCCAGTGTGAGTGGAGCTGGTTGAGTCTGGGGAGGGAGAAGGGAGCGTTCAGATTCCAGAACCACCCAGGATCCCCCCCCGACCCCCCTCAGAAGAGCCCTTCATTTTCAGGCGAGGGGATGAAATAACCTCATCCACCGGAATGGAGTGGAATGAGCACGACTGGGAGTGTGGAGACCCAACCCACTATCCCGGGTGCGCCCTGTGACCTTGGGGAAGTCCAGGGAGCCAGCTGTGCGTCATTCATTCATTCTTCTTCATTCATTGTTGGGCCCAGAAACCAGTACTGGGCACCTGCTGTGCTGGCACAGAGCTAGGCCTGCGGATGCTGTAGGGACTTTAAAGTGTGTGTGTGTGTGGG